TTTCCACCCCACCCCACCCCCATGCCCAGGGAACAGGGCAGGCTCACCCACAGAGGCCACGGCTAGAGCTGAGCAGTGAGCTTCCACGGGGATTTTCTCTTCTGACTTCCTCTCCCAGGGGTGCTGACCTTATTGCACCCTAATAGAGTTCACTCCTTGGGTTGTGCTCTCTGCCTTCCAAGCTGGGAGCTGCTCCAGCCACTGAGTACCTTCCTGCCTAAGGTGACCAACCCTTTTCCCTGCACCCCCTGAAATGGTAACAGGAAGTAGAAATGTGACAAGGGACCCACAAAATGAAGGGGCACTCCTAACGCTTTTAGGCTTCTGTGGTCTGCTGGACACTATCTTAGAGACAGGAAGGAGTGGGGTCCCAGGTTCCTAGCTCTGGTCCGTCTAAATTCGCAAATGACTGGATCTAGACATGCATACATGTGCACATGCACCCGTGACGTCCATCTGACAGACATGCACACACATGCACACCGCCCAGCCGTGATGTCTGTCTGATAGACATGCACGCACATGCACATGCACATGGCCAGCCGTGATGTCCATTTGATAGACATGCACATGCACACGGCCCACGGCCCAGCCGCGACGTCCATCTGATAGACACGTACATGCACACGGCACACGGCCCAGCCGCGATGTCCATCTGATCCCACACTTTCCTCTGCACACCAGGACATCAGGCTGTACGAGCTAAGCTCCCGGGCTTGCTTGGCAACATTCAAATTTAAAAAAATTTAATTACACAATGCCTCCACCCAGTTTTCATGAAGACATTGAAGTCCATTGATAATAAGTATCTCTCCTCAAAAGAATAAGCCCTGGGGCCTAGGCCACCTTTCTCAACCCGAGAGCAGCTCACAGTCCTCATTTCTTACTCTCACACTGGCCTGGTTCTCAACCTTGGCTACACATTGGACCCACCTGGAGAAGCTTTTCAGGTTCCCAGGACCCAGGTCTCACCTGGACCCAGGAGTTAAACCAGAATCACTGGGGGTCGGACTCAGGTGTCAGTATTTTCCAATCTCCGGGTGATTCTAAAGGGCAGCCAAGGGTGAGAACCTTCACCGAAGTCAGAGACAAAGAGACAGACACCCTCAACAGCTTCTGCAACTTTAAGTGAAATAACGTATAAGGAAACCAATTTTACCATAGCTAATCGATAGAAACAAGCTCCTAGGACATCTCATCCACCTTGGAACCAAATAACGTTGGACGCTACGTTATTCGAGAACCTGCTATACGGAGGATGCCCCGATGGGAAGGAAAAGAACCAAGAGGGAGGAGGAGATGGAAAGCCACACACAGCGGGCAGGGAGCCGCGGGGGGGGAGGGCCTGAGGGGCTCGCTTCTTCCCCGACCCCTGGCAGAGCTGCTTGAAGAAACGCTGAGAGCGGCAAGGGTGCACTGGCCACGACAGGGCGGGCCATCGCGTCCCTCTGCCCCGCCACCGCCTGCCTCTTCTAAGTCCCTGCGCCTTCCTGGCAGCCTGCATTCAGCCGCACTGACTGTGGACTTGAGGGGCAGGGCAATGAGTGAAAGGAACAGGCTGCTCAGTGAGATGGAACGAACGCCCTTTGTGTGGGGAGGCTAGATGCGGCGGTTAATTTCTTAATTCTCATCACAATTCGGTTCACGGGAGGCTCCTGGAATGTCTTTATCCATCACAGATGGTTTGGGAAGATGATAAATTAATATCATTTAAATGGAGGCGCGGCTGAAATGGTTAAATGGCAATGTCTTCTTTGCTGGCTCCAAAGAGAAAGTTGCCCCCCAGTCCATAAAGAAGACAAATGGTAAACAAAACCGCCTATCTTTTGACAGATTCCAGGGCGAGGATCATTCACAACCCATTCTGCGGAGAAAAGAGAAATTCATCTCGTCTGACTTTGTATAGGACAGCAGCCCACGCCATAATGAGGCCTTCCCAGTGCTGTGAAATTGCGCTGAATAGCCAGAGAGTGCAGCCGCCTGTCCCCCGGGCATGTTTATTACGGCCCTTTGTATGCACCAGCCCTGCCAGCCCCAGCTTGGGTCTAAACCACAGGACCGGAGAAAGAACCCAACAAATTTGTTGCTACGAAACTTCCCAAATGGGGGACTTGCATAATAACGTGTGGAGTCTAAGGCCCTTGCTCCAAACTGTTCTTGTCTGGGTCCACCCCTGCTCTAAGCTGAACAAGGTTGGGAGTCAGCCAGTCGCCAGGAGTATATGGGTGGCCTCAGTCCCCCGCCGGGCTCCTCCCAGGCCCTGGGAAGTCAGGGGGTAAAGAGGGCCCCGATGCCATTCCTAACCTTCCTCAGGGCAACTGCCAACCTGAGTCAAGAGCCCAGTTCCGCTGTGAAATGCCCCTGAGGTCCACCCCAGGAGGCCAGGGCCTGGGGTAACTCCTCAGCAAACCACTGGAGAGAAATATGATGGGCCAAATGCTTCCACCAAAAGAGTCACTTCCTTCAATTGTCCAGCCCTGGGAAGACGAGAGCGGACCCACGGAGGTGATGACGAGACCCCCGACTGCAGATCTCAAGGGCATACATCCCCTGGCCAGCATCTGACCTCCTTTAGCTAGTTCCTGACAAGACTTCAGGGCCTCTCTTTGGTGAGAAGTGTCCTGTGAGGGAACTGAGGATTCCAAGTTTCCACATCCCCTAATGGGGTGACACCAGGAGAAGAAGAGCAGAAAGAGAAAACCTGGAGCTTGCAAGAGATGCCTTTCCTCACCAATGAAACGGCGGGAGGTTTCAGGTCACATTCTTCTTGCTCACCACTCAGAGAGCAGTTCTTTTAGGCAGCGTCTCTTTTCACCAGTCATGAAGCCCTGCGGGTGTGCCTTTCCTCACCAATCAGGGTTAGGACAGGCCACACGGTGTTTTCCCTCACCAATCAGGTGGCAGGATCCTGGAAGAATTGTTTCTCCTCACCAATCAGGATGCACTGAGAGTCCCACCCTTTCCCGTCACAGTTCCCCAGCAGGATACGCAGGTGTTATTCTGAGCAGAATCCGTCCATACATCTCTTATGTGGGTTCTTCTCCTGGTGTTCCCACCAAGCCTAGGGGCAGCTGCTGTCCGGCGCTGAGAGGGAAGACACAGCCACAAAGGCTGACCAGAGCGTTTGAAATAATAAGACGGGACCATACCCTTGTCTGCCTGCATCTGTTCCTCCTGGAAGCTGGGTGTCTACACACCATTTAACCAGGGAGTAGAGCTCCAGGGGATGATCTGCAAGTTCCCTTGATATATCACTCAAAGTGGTAATAAGCCACACATGGCCCTTGTCCCGCCCCAGTGCAACGGGGCAGAGGGAGAAGAGGCATACGGCAAGATGGCCAAGCCCCTGTTCCTTCCTATCTCTCCCAGGGACGGACCTTCCCTGCTCTGACAGCAGAAACTGACACACAGAGCCCAGACCTTCTCATCCACCAGCAGATTTCTCCATTTATCCAGCTGAATGGCCTCTTTTGATTAAAATCTCTTGGTCAAATCCCCCAAGAAATCTATGTGCAAGTCGTTGTTTACAAGACTCTGGCTTCAATTTCTTCTGTAAATGAAATACAAAGAACACTTGGACATAGGTGAAGGAGTTGGATTACCTTCCAATTATGTTCTCTGAAAACCCGGAGCCCTCGCTCCCTAGTCATGTCTTCCTGCCTTCCTGCCACTGTAGGTGTTTCTCGGGTCCCTTGGCCCAGGCTGCCTTCTCAGTCCCTGCTCAAAATCTCCCCGGGGGGGTTCTCGCCTGGATGAGTTGTTTTTTGATGTGGAAACAGCCCAACTACCTTTATGCTTAAATTCCTCTTGACAACCACCAGAGGCAGCCTTAAGTCCACAGATAGGAAAGGAGAGCTAGATTTTGGAGCCACCTGTTACTTGGAATTGATGGGATTTCTAGAAGATGCAGACTGGGAGCCTGTTTTTTGGCATCATAGGCCTTGTGCTCACAAGGGCACGTGCTTGGTTGAAGCTCTGCTGTTGCCATTTTGAAATTCTTAGTAATTCCTGAACAAGAAGCCCTGTATTTTTATTTTACACTGGGGCCCACAAATCATGTCACTGGTCCGGCACACAAGTGCCCGACATCTGGTGTATTTCCTGTTCAGAAGGTGATACTCTGGCTTCATCCAAAGGCTAAGCAGTGACCACAGAAGAATTTCTCTACTGTAGCCCATGATCTGGGTCTGAGTTTGCCATGGTTTGGGTCTCTCAAGTGGGTACTGTCTTGGGAAGCCATGCTTGCAGCAAGCCCTGGCCCCAAGCCCCAAATTCCAGCCCCAAAGAGCCCTGATTCCTGGAATTCCCAAAAGCAAATGTGGGTGGGGGCCCCACTTCTCCCCCAACACCATTAAGTTCCCTGGCAGCTCCTGGGCATCATCTCGCCATCGCTTCGTTTGTGTTCATGGGAGAAAACAAACAGCACAAAGTTCAAACATTAGTGCTTGCTTCAGTGAACAAAAACAGAATCTCCGTCTCCCTTTAGTTTTTCATCCTGAGAAGTAAAGCTATTTGCAGGTGGATTAAATGTTCCTTCTGAGACCCGGCCCCTGAAGCTGCGAGCGTGCAGTGTCTGTCTGTGCGAGTGTTGGGGGGCGGGGGCAGGAGGTGCAGGCAACATCCAAAGAAATCCGTCTGCCTGGTTTTGGGAAAAGAGAGTCCTTTGTGCGGACGGTAAGCCCGGTGAACATGACCCCCGCCCTGTGGTATGCGGCACACCTGTGCGGAGGGACAGGCAGCTGGGCGGGGGCGGGGCGACGGGCCTGGAGCCCTGCACCCTCGCGGAGATCACACCTTCTCCTTTCTTCCCCTTGGAGTCGTTTCTCCATCGCCCCTTTGTCTCAGCCCGCACCTCCGAATACCAGGGAGGCCGTGGGTGCATGCGTGTGTGTGCATGCGCGTGTGTGCATGCGCGTGAGTGCGTGTGCGTGAAAAGAGAAACAGAAAAGCAGCGAGAAGAGAGGGAGGCTGGTGTTCCGGGCCCCGCCCCCTCCGCCTACCTTTGCAGGCCTTCCGGTGGGTGATGGGCTTGCCCATGTCGCGGTAGTAGCCCTCCTTGCAGTAGTGGCAGTGGCGGCCGGCCGTGTTGTGGCGGCAGTTGAGGCAGACGCCCCCGCTCTTGCGCCCCGACAGCTTGTAGAGCTCCATGTTGAAGCGGCAGCGCCGGGCGTGCAGGTTGCAGCTGCAGGCTGGGGAGGAGGCAGGGACAGCGTCAGGAAGGGCTCCGCGGGAGCCCGGGGTCTCTGCCCCCACCCCTCCTTCAGTGCAGGCCCGGGAGGCAGGCCTCTCCCAGAGCCGCTCCCTAGCTCCCGTTTCATTCCTACACGCTTACCCCCTGCTTACCCCCTTACCCACCTTGCAGTACCGAGCCTCCTGCTCCCTCCCAGGTGACTTCACCTCCCTCAGCACGCTGGCCCATGGTCCACACACCTCGGGGAGGGATGATGAGCTGGCGTCCTCATTGTGCCCAAACCCTGCTGGCTATAGGCTGACCCCCCCCCCCCATTCATATGCCACCCTAACCCCAAGACCTCAGAATGTGACTGTATTTGGAGACAGGGCCTTGGAAGTAGTAGTTCAGTTAAAATGGGCCCTAACCCAATCTGACCGGTGTCCTTAGAAGAAGAGGGAATTTGAACACGCAGAGAGACACCAGGGGAACGCACCATTAGAGAAACGGCCAAGCGAGGACATGGAGAAGGTAACCACCTATAAGCCACCGAAAGAGGCCTCAGGAGAAACCAACCCTGCCGGCGCCTTGATCTCGGACTTCTGTCTGCCCATTTCTCCCCTCTGCCTGTTCCCTACCTGGTCCTCAGGGTTCAGCACCCTTTTCCCTCTGCTCTGATGCTCCCCAGGTAGGCCTCATCCGCCCCTCGAGGCCGCAGGACCACCTCTGTGCTCCGACTCCCAAATCCATGTTTCCAGCTTCCACCCTGGGGTCTGCACTGGACCCAGAGGCCAGTCCTCCCAACCATTGGCTCCTCTCAGGCTGCCAGGCCCAGCCCCTCCGCCTCCTGCACTGAGCCCTCTGGGCTGTGCTCAGAGCTGTAACCAGAGCAGGGGTTCTACGCACCAATCTGAGGATGTCCTCTGCTTCTTGAAAATCTTTCAGTGGCCCCCCGTTTTTCCTCTGTATAAAACCTAAATCATTTCACAGGGCCTCCAGGGCTATGAATATGCTGATCCTGCTTCCTGCTCTTGCTCCTAAGCTTCAGCAAACCTCTTTCAGCCTCTAGCAGAGTATGCTCTGCGTGGGGACCCCTGCCTGCCCCTCTATGACTTTGCATATGTTGTTCCCTGCCTCCTCAGACCCTCTTCTCCCAAGCCCCCTCCTCGTCTGCCTGCATCCCTCTCATCCTCCATGTCTTGGTCGCAAAGTCACTTCTACACCCACTTTCAGCTCCCACCTGCCTGGCGTAGGCAAGAGAGCGCTGTGGGCTCCGGGGCAGCCAGCACAGCCCGTGTACAGCTCCCCTCGTACCACACCTGGAAGCCGCCGCCCGCCTTCTTCCTTAGGCCTCTGACTCCCAGACAACCCGGCTTAGATCCGGCCCGCTCCCGCTCACCCTGTAACATAATTTGCCCTGCTTTTGTGCTAAGCTTGTTTTAAACTGCATTTTATGTCATTTCTAAGGAAATACATGTTTAATGCCAGACACTTGAAAAACAAAAGCAGAAAGGCAAAAAAACCGGCACTCTGATTTCCACCAACTGCTTTAACACAGGGGTCCGTCCTTGCAGGCTCTAATCAACATTTGCTCCGCGGGGAGCTGTTTAATTCCTTCCTACGGACATGGATCACACTTGTACACCTCAGGTTCATAACCCATTTCCTCATGATGGTGAACATCTTTTAGTGTCGGACAGTCTTCATGATTCTGAAAGGTGTCTGCTCCGCCACTGTGCGGGTTGTGTGTAACGGGGCTGCTTGGATCTGCAGTGGGTGCATTTAAAAGCAGGGCCTCTCCGGGTTGGGTAGCTAAGCTTGTTTCCAGTTTTTCACTATTATAAACAACACATTGATAACCACCTTTGAATTCATGGATTTAACTCTGCTCTGATGACTGGTGTATAGTAAATTTCTCAAGACAGAATTGGTAGTTAAATTTTGGGTCTACATGTTTTAACTCGGGATCCAAACTGCCAAATTCCCCTCAAGAAAAGGCTTGCACTCCCATATGGGAGCTCCTATTTCAACACACCTTTGAAAAGAAAAACAATATACATTTGGTATCAGCACTCTTTTTAAAAAGCTTTCCCAATTCGTCTGGAAAACACACACACACACACACACACACACACACACACGATTTTAATTTGCATGTCTTTGATTACCACTAAGGTTGGACATTTCTCCATGTTTGTTTTTCTATTTCTACTTCATTTTTTGGGTATTGCCTGTTCGTGCCATATGCCTAGTTTTCAAATAAGGTTGTTTTTCTCCACAATGTCTAGCGCTCTCAAATATGATGGATTAAAAAACGTTTGTCTTTTCTACTATACAAGCTGCGTAAATATTTTTACGTTATCTATTCATGTATTACTTCTGTGGTTTAAAAAAATATAGTTGCCCCTTTAATTTTTCTCTGTGATGCTACAATAAGCTTCTTTGAATGTGCTTCCCAGAGTCACCCTCCAAATCATGCACCCATCAGTCACTTGATTTACAAGTAGAGAGGGACCCATGCTTTAGAGGAGGCACGGTGGGGAGAGGGAAGACTCAGCTCACACCTTAAGTCTGGAGGCAGCTGGACACATCCGGCCAGAGAATGACTCCTGAGGGCTTTCCAAGCATCCCTCAGCACCTCCAGCCCTTGGGGCTGGGCTCAACTAAGTTCAAAGGAAGAGGCTATAGCCCCAGCCCTGGGGACGATGGTGCATACACAAGTCCACTGTCCCTTTGGACTCCCTCAACCAGTCCAGGATGATAGAGGGCTGCTCGGAGTGGTTAAGTGACCTATCAGCCCGGGACCACCAAGCCAGGAAAGAGGCGGCCCAGGACTAGAACCCAGGTCTTCTAGTGGGAACGATCCATGTCCCTGGAAGGAAGAACAGCTGGGCCTAGACTACAAGCTGGAATGGGGTCTTCCCTACTCGCACAGAAGTCACAGGGCTGGGCATACCTGCCCAGGGACAGGGATCTAGAAAGATCACCCAAGCCTCACTTCCTCAGGCCTCATCTTGTACTGGAAAGGGCCTCAGTAGCAGCATCTTCTTGGTCCTTCTTGGAGGCAGATGCTAATCCTGTGTCCTCCTCTGTAAAGATGGCCCCAGCCTCTGAGCCTCTCCTGGGAGGTCAGCCGCCACCCCCACCCCCACCCCAAGGAAAACCTTGGGCTGGTATCTCTTCCATATGCACCTTACACCAACAAAAGGCTCTTCAAACAACTGGTCACACAAAAGAAAACTCAGAGGCTGAACATCAAAAGGCAGGGCTGCCCTCCCTACCCCCGCTCTTGGAGCTGTCAGGGGACATCAAGTGGCAATTGCCCACGCTCAACCTTTTGCAAAGTATTTTACAGCTTGTTTTCTTTTCTCTTTGTTTTATTTTCTCTGCACAAATGGAAAAATGCATTGAGCAAAACAGTTCACATCTGGAAGCCTTGGCTCCACAGAGATGTCACCCCACTCCCAACCTGTCCCCAGCCCCCTTCTCAGAGAGACACCTTAATCCCTTGCGCCTTCCTGTTTATCTCCTGCCTCTCTTGGAGGCAAAAATATTGGGTATTAGTTTCATTATCAGATTTCAAGGCGGGAAGGAAAGGGCAGCTTTGTGAGAACGGAGAGGTCAGCCTAGGGAGAGGGTGGGGGCTGGGGAGCGCCACTGCCGAGGGACCTGCACGGGCTGCCCTGCGGGGCGCTACGTGCCGTCCAGGGGTCCCCCAGCCACCCAGAGAGAGCTGGCGCGGTCTAGACCCTGAGCTCTATGGCCCCTCAACTGCACGTGAGGGTCACCAAAGATCCATCGTGTGTGGCTGCATTTCAGGCCCAGGGGCATACCATGGGGCAGGAGGGAGGAGTAGGAGAACCCCCTGCAGGTACTAAGCAGAAACCTGACAGGACATGGGGCCCGAGAGATGACGTTCTACTTTCTTCCCCTCATGAAAAGTGTTTCTAGGTCCTATTTGACATATGCCGGTCACCACTCCTTAGGCCTTGCCGAGCCTCTCCCACCAACCTGCGCTGTCCAACCCGTCACCACCCCCTGGCCAGTTCAGTCCAGCACTCAGTCAGACACTCCAGCTACATGCCAGGCCTGTGCCCGGAGCCATGAAGGAGACAAAGAAGGACAGTGTGCTCTCAACTGTCCGAGCTCCCCTTCTGGTGGAGGCGGAAGGACAGATGAGCACGCTCAGCAGAAACCTCTTGGAGGAAGTGAGATGGAAGTTCTCCTCGGCTAGGCTGGCTCCTGGTACCCTCAGCCCAGAGCAGACCTCAGTGTTGCAGCACAAACGAGAGAGAGCAAACATGAGTAAATCAGACAGAATATGAATGGGTGGGCGGATGGATGATGGGTGGGCGGAGGGGTGATGAATGGGTGGATGGGTGAACAGATGGATGGATGATGAATGGGTGGGAGAAAGAGTGGATGCATGGATGGTGGGTAGGTGGATGAGTGTGGATGGACAGACAGATGGATGATGCACGGGTAAGTGGTTGGGTGAAGAGGTGGATCAGTGCATGGATGGGCAGGTGGGTGGGTAGTAGGCGGACAGGTAGGACAAATGGAAGATTGTGTGGTCTGCCTAGACTTTACCTGGCAAGGCATGGTCTTGTGATATGGACATTTATTTATTGTTATTTTGAAGTATTTACAACTTGTATTGCTGCCTTCGCTCATCAATTTAGCTTCTATCTGTTCAAGCAGACTGCAGCACTTTCAGGAAAAGAACCCGCACCTAGCATGCCCTGGGCTCCTCTCAAGACTCTGGGTAGGACTTTGCAGCAACAGTGACTGGCTGGAGCGATGTTCCATACACCAAAAGGTCGCGTGTTCAATCCCCAGTCAGGGCGTGTATGGGAGGCGAGGCGACGACCATCAATGTTTTTCTCTTACATCGATGTTTCCCCCACCCCCACCCCTCTACCTCTCTCTCTAAAATAAAAATTTTTAAATGAAGATATTGGGTCTGATGATCTCTGAGTTCTTTTCTGGCCTAAAAGACAATTGCTGCAGGAAGGTAAG